TTTTAATAACAAGTATAATGTGTATCTCTTAATGGATACCTGTGCTTCATCTATTAAAAAGAGAAAGATTTTTTTTTGGTACCAGGGATCGTACTCGGGTCCTTGCACTTGCGCAGTAGGTGGCAAAACCACTGAGCTAAATCCCCGGCCCAAAGAGAAAGATTTGTTTTGTCATCCAAGAACTTTTTTGTGTGTGTGATATGGTTTGTAGTGCTCCTGCCTCAGCTTCCCAAATGATAAAATTACAGGAGTATGCCACCACACCTGGCTCAAGAACCAATTTTTGTTACTTTGGGAGCAATATTGCCCCCATTAAGAACACAAAAGACCGGGTTAGGGATTTAGCTCAGTGGTTTTGCCACCTGCTGTGCAAGCGCAAGGACCAGAGTTCGATCCCTGGTACCAAAAAAAAAAGAACACAAGAGACCACACAACACTAATGTTTTGAACCACCCTTACACACACTGACGCAACATACAATAAAATCACATTAGTTGCATGTTGCAGATGAATAAGTCAAGGCCGAGAGGTTGTATTAATTTTTGAAATGGCTGATAATTAGACTGGGAACCAGAAACTTAGCAAGATCCCAGCTTGGCCTCTTCTCAAGCCTTTGTTTCCTTGTGTGAAAAATGATAGAACTGATCCAAAGAAGTGTTCCCCAAAATGCAGTTAGTGGTTTGGGTTTGGTTTTTGCCCTATTTGACCTAATAACCGCAAATATTCGTATGGCTTTTATTAGCTGCAGGCACCAATCTAAGTACTTTCCATATATTAACTACTGTCTGCTGTTACTGTCTCGGCACAGAGGAGGGACTCGAGGCATAGAGAGGCTGGGTGACTTTCCCAAGGTCACAGTAGTAGTGAGTGGCACAGCTGGGTTTTGAACCCAGAAGTCTGAATTTCAGAGGGCCTGTCTTGTCGTTGTTTTGTTTTGTATCTTGATACTTGGTCCAGCGAGGTGGCCCAGGCTGGCCTCGAACTCTCAGCCTTCTCAGGGCTGGGATTGCAGGCTTGCAACACACGCTCAGCTCAGAATGGCTGTTTTTAACCTTGTACTCTAAAAGGAAACTTTGTAACTATATAGAAAAATAGAAGGGCAGTATCACTTGTAAACAGACAAGTAACAAAAAATCGATATAAAATGAAAACATATGTTAAAACATTCTAGCTAGATAGTATCCCCTGCTACATTGTGAGCTGGAAGTCTGCCTCTCTCCTTAAAAGAAAGAGATAAGATAAGCACAGATAGAAAGGTGTTAAAGGGCTCCTGGCAGCAGAAGACTTTCTCCTGGAGCCATGGAAGTGTCTGGAAAGAGAATGGCGGGTGTTTGTGCGCATGCGCCTGCTCCTCCTGCCCTGATGTACCACGCAAGCAACCTAAAGGCAACGGACGCCACTCTGCACCCTGGCCTGGCTGTTCAAGAAGGGCCCAGTCATGTTTGCGAGGAAAGATAGCCGCCACCAGCCTGGCCAGGCCTGGGAGTGCGGCCAGAAAGTTTTGGGCCACCGCAGGAGAGGGGCAGTGGGTGGAGGTGTCCAGTCACCCCTCCCCTCGGCCTGGCCTCCAGGTGAACAGCTGACCCCCACCCTGTCTGTCCCCACAGACCCGCCGCTTGGCCCTGCGCCGTTTACCGTTTACCAGTTCCTGTCGCTTCAGGCCCCTGCGTTGGAAGGCTGTCGCTCATCCTCTGCACCTGCAGCACTGGTTGTCAGCCCTGCAGGCTCCCAGGCGATATCATCGCAGGGTGTGAATAAGTAAATAAGCAGCCAGCAGTGGCTGTTCCCCACATGATACTGAGAAAGGTTCAATTGCCCCTACCCGTGCTCTGGGGAGAGTCCTGCCAGGGTACTAGGGCATTTATTATTTAGTTTTGTTGTCCTTGTCCCAGGTGAGGTACTTTCCCAGCAATCCCAGCCCTACTTTTTATCTGTGCACCAGGAGCGGCTAAGGGGTCCAACAGATGAGGGGATGACAGGCAACAAAACTTCCTGGCCCCTTCTCCCATAGCCTGGCTGTGTGATTGTGGCGACTCAGGGCCTCTCTGAGTCTCTGTCATACACACACACACACACGCACAAAGCCCCATCGCCTGGGCCAGAATCCTGGTTCTGTCATTCACAAGTCAGGAACCTCTGTGCAAGGGATTGAACTCCTATGGGTCTTTGGCTTCTCATCTATAAATGAGGAATAGCAGAACTTCTCAAAAGGGCTGTCGGATAATTAAATGTGACATGTAAAACAACTTCTATACAAGCATTCATTGTTTCATTTATTTATTTTTGGAGTGCTAGGGAAGGAACCCAGGGCCTTGGTGTACTAGGCAAGCCCTCCAGCACTGAGCTGCACCCTAAGCCTGTTCTATTTTGAAAGGACCTCGTGTTCTACACCAGGCACTTTACCACGCTCTCTAACCATCACAACAATCCCAATTCCCCGGATGAGAAACTCAGGCTCGGTTTGGTCCTTTGGCTTCCCCAACGTCATAGAGGCTCACAGCCGCACAACTAGAGTTCCAAACAGATCTCACCTAGTTCTAAAGCGTTTTCTAAAAACTGCATCTCACGCTTTCCCACCCATAAAATGGAAAGAAGTTTCTCCCATCAGCTCTCCTGTGAAATTAAATAGGACGAGTCCTGTGAAGGGGCCTTTATTGGTGCTAGCTCCATTCAGCAGAGCTTCTCTATTCTCTCGGGGTAATTACCAAAACACAGCCTTCCATTTTCACAGGAAGGAGTCTGCTGAGTCTCTTCTTAATCTCTAGGAGACAGTATTGTCTGATGGCCAGAGCAGAGGGCTGAAACTATTCGATCAAATCAGAACCGCTGGGTGCCCTTCCCAGGCCCAAGCCTCCCAAGCCAGGTTTCCTTTATCTCTGGGGCTTCTCTTTGTCTCCCACCTCTCACTCACCCCATAATGTTCAGGACTGTGGAATCCTTTTCTCCCTTGGGGGGCAGTGCAAAACCCCCGTGATGGCATCTGACATCTCCAGCTCTGAACTTCGGGGAGAGGGAGTCCTACTGGTTATGAGGCGATTGTAAGGCGGTTAGCAATGTCTGATTTAGATAGAAGTAAGGCCTTGCCACCTGGGACATGCACACCACACCCTATTGGCTTGCCTGGCAGCAGGCCAGCCTGGTGTGCTGTCTGTCTTGCATAATGTAGGAGCCGATGGTAGGAACCAAACACCATCAGCAGTGAGTCTGACCACTGGAGACCTTGGACGTGTCCAGGGCCCTTGCCAAAGCTGATGTCTCTCTGTTGGCAGGGGCTGGAGAGCAGATGGGAATTTGTGTCACCAGCGGCATTTCCTGGGCTATGGTGCCTACTAGCCTCATCCTGGTCCTTGGGACTCTATGAGCCAAGAAGCCCCAGAAGGTAATCTGATCTTAACTTAGAATCAACAATGGTGACATTGGGGACAACTAGATTTCTGTTTTCCAGGCTCACAATCCCCTCTGAGAGGGCTAGAGGTGGCACAGGGAGGGCTGGCCCCTCTCTGAGTGACTGAGATGGGAAGAAAAACTGATGCCCCAGGACCCTGGTAATTTCTGTGGCAGCCTCATGGCCATAGGAAGACCCATGGACAGCAGCTGTGGTGAGGTGTACCAGGTAGGGATAGCAGTAGGTAGACAGTGGCACTGCATTCAGATGCAACATGGCACAGGGAGTCTGAAGCTTCTGTGGGAGGTGTGCTTGTGTGAGCATGAGCGTGTGTGTGTGTGTGTGTGTGTGTGTGTGTGTGTAGGCACATTGTATGCAGAACCAAAAGAATTAGGAGTGAAAGAGCAAGGCCAGTGCCTCAAAAGCTAGAGAATGCAGGGCGTGGTGGCACACACCTGTAATACCAGCACTCAGGAGACTGTGGCAGGAGGATTGCCACATGTTTAGGGCCATCCTGAGCTACATAACAAGTTCAAGGCCAGCCTGACCTATGTAGCAAGACCCTGTCTTAAAACACAAAAAAGGACTGGGGATGTGGCTCAGTGGCAGAGCAACTGTCATGCATAAAGGAGGCCCTGGGCTCAATTCACTGTGGATATGACAGCACTAACACTTCATTTACAAAGAGAGCCAGATGCAAGTCACTGAATCAGCGAGTTATCGAGTTATCGCTTACCCGGGTCCCCAAGGCTAGGCCAAGCATTAGAGCTTGGCTACAGAGAGAAATCAACCCCCCCCCCCCCAGCACTTGCAGTCTAAGTGGGAAGCAGGAATGCTGCAGCAGCAAAGTCAGATACCTTCTGTCGAGGCCTGGGGCACAGCACCCGCCTGGGGCTGCGGGAACTCAAGGTCACCTCGCGGAGGCGGCAGCGAGAGCCCACTGAGCGTATCTGAGATCAGGCTTCAGGGAGGAAGAAGCGATGTCGAGGAGAAGAGAGGGAACAGCATGTGCAAAGCTGCAGAGCTGTGAGTCCCCTGCCCTGGCTCAGGAACCCTCAAACAGACCCCTGTGGAGCCTGGAGCTGACGCGCGGACTCTCCTTCGTCTAGTAGCGGTTACCTGGTTCCTACTGCAGGGGGAGGCGCGCAAGAGCAGGAAGGGGCCTCTGGCTGAGCGCTGGAGCCCCCGGCGGTGCTGGCACCTGCGGGAGAGTTGTGAATGAAGACGTGGGAGGCGGGTGGGGCTCGAGCGGACGGTGTTGACAGTCTGCTAAAGTATTCCGCCCCATCCTGGAGTCAGTGGGAAGCCTTTGGGGAGTTTAAAGTAGAAAAGGAACACGATCCGATGCGGGCGGTAGGAAGTCACCTCGACAGTGATGGGAAAGCTGAGAAGAAGGAGTAAAAATGGAGAAGGGAGGTCAGGTTGGAAAAGAGTGATAATTCTATACAGTGAACTAGTAGCTTTCACGTTGGCGAAGTCCGGGCGAGACTCCCCTGAGGAAATGCACTCAGCGAAGCTCAGGGACCTGGGCGAGGTCACAGCAAGTTAGCTCCCTCTCCGGAGATCCAATCCTCCCTTTGTAGGGCCCCAGCACCGGGGATGAGTTCCCCAGCGTTCAGCATCTGGAGGAGATCCGACCTAGGCGGGCGGCGGCGAAGACTCGCTACTTCTATTCTTTCGCGGCGGAAGAGCAACTAAGAACTCCTGGACACAGAAGATCCGGCGGGAGAAAAGAGGCGGGAAGAGGGAGTTTGGGTCTCGGCGGCCGCCGTAGGTGCGGCGCTCCCATGGCAACAACACGAAGCCGCGCCGCGACTCTGGGCGGTGCTGGCGCCGAGGCGGTTTGGGCCCCGCGCGGCGCGGCGCGGCGTCTGCGAGTTGCCAGCAGCCTGGAGGGTGCAGGTGACGGACCGGAGGGCTGAGCGCGCTGTGTGGGAGCTGCGGAGGCGCGCGGTCGGGTCGGGCAGGGGGCTGTGAAGAAGGCGCTGCCTTGAACTCCCTCCCGCTTCGGGACCGGAGGCCTTTTCCGGGACTGGGCGTCCAGGCACGAAAGGGGAGGGCAGGGCCACCCCGGCTAGCGGCCCTTCCAGCCTCTGAGCCCCGATCTTCTCTCCCTGCAGCTCCTGGACTGGCTGGGCCTGCCCTGCCCCATGGACGTGAGTCCTGCTCCCTCCCGGCAGCAGCCCCCCGGGCCCTGTGCTCTCTCTGCCTGCCTGCCTCGAGCCCGGACGGGGCGGGGGACTTTTGCCGATCATAGATCCTCCCAGCTCACAGGAGCTGTGCGAAACCGTGCCAGAGGTGGATGGGGGCATTTCCGGTATTCCTGCGTGATAGGAATTCACCAAGTAGTCCAGGAGACCGGGAATCAGGCAGAGCAGACGGCAAAGACCGCGGTCTGGGCCTGAGAGGACAGACCCCCCGCGGAACCGCAGGATTTAGGAGAGGAGTGGGAGGCGGGGCTGGAGGGCGGTGGTTTCACTGAAGTAAGTTTTCCTCCCAATCTGTGGGAGCCGCTGGTGCGCTGTAAAGAAGGGACGGACGCTGGACAGCTGTTGTGGAAAGAGGCAAAGTTGCAAGTTGGAAGACCAGCCAGTGATGTGGGCAGAGGATTGGTAAAGTGGTAGCGGAGTCAGAGACAAGAAATCTTTTTGGAGAAACATTCTGAGAAGATCGGTAAATCTCAGAAGATTCTAAATGACCAGAAAGTGCTTATGGCGGTGAAATAGGGATGACGGGAAAGACGGGTTTGGAGGACGGGATGATGAGCCAGTGTCGTCCTGCTGACTCCCCACCATCTGGTGGTCCCCCACGCCCTTCCTGCTATTCCTGCTTCTTAGCCGCCCCTGTCGCCCCTTCCTCTGTCCTCATCCAGGCCTCCTCTAGCTCGTGGAACCCAACCCCGGCTCCTGTCAGCAGCCCTTCCCTGCTGCTCCCCATCCCCGCCATCGTCTTCATCACTGTGGGCATCTATCTGCTTCTGCTGGGCCTAGTGCTGCTGACTAGGCACTGCCTGCTGGTGAGGGGCCTGGGGGTGGTGGGGTGGGCTCCGGGGAAGAGGAGCCCAGAACTGCGCTCTCATCTGCAGGCTCTTACCCTGAGATGCCCTGGCCACTTGGTTCTTGCATCTACCCTTTTTGTGGGACCAGTGAGTCCCTGCTCCTTGTCCCTAGTCAACCCTTCTCCTGCCCCTCCCGAGTGAGTCTCAGCTGTCCCCACTGCTGCCTGGCCCAGACCCTGAGCCTTGCCTTCTCCTAGGCCCAGGGCTGCTGCACAGACGTCACCTCCCCCTGCAGGAAGCAAGGAGCCTCAGAGCCCCAGGACTGCTGCTGGACCTGTGCTGAGGCCTGTGACTTCCCCCTGCCCAGCCCCGCCGGCTACCTGGATGCCTGCTGCCCCCAGCCCAGCGAAGCTGTGAGTTCCATTCTAACCTGCCCCTGAGCATCTGTGCCTTCACTTTCTTTACTCATTGCATTTCTTACTGAGCAGCTCCAGGTCAGGCATGGTGTTAGGTACCAAGTCGAGTGGAGGCAGCCAAAAACAACACAAAGAACAGGTCATTTCTGTTCATGAAGGTTACTTGGAGGAGATAAGGCAGCGGCTGGAGAACTTTAAAAAGGGTAGTTAAAAGAAAAAACTTGACAGGGCACCTTCTGTTCACTGAGGAAGTATTATGTACCAGAGAACAATGCCACTTTATTGGGATTATTAATTTCTCAAAAAGCTCCAAGAACTGGGTATTTTTTTAATGTGAATTTTGAATTGCTACATTCTAATTATGCAAGCTGGGTATTTAAAAAACATTTTTTCTGATTATACCAAGTATTGTATACAATGTATACATATAGAAAGACAAAGAAAGTACAAATTACTTTATAAACCAATTCCCCACAGAGCCCTACCAAAGGCAATTCTTTTTTTTTGTTTTTTGGTACTGAGGATGGAACTTGGGACCTTGCACTTCCGAGGCAGGCGGCGGAACTGCTGAGCTAAATCCTGGCCTATTTTTTTGTTTTGTTTTGGTTTTTTGGTACCAGGGATCAAACTTGGGTCCTTGCGCTTGCGCAGCAGGCGGCGAAACCACTGAGCTAAATCCCTGGCCCTTTTTTGGTTTTTTGAGACAGGGTCTCACTTTATAGTTCAGCCTAGCCCTGAACTCACTACGTAGCCCAGGCTGGCCTTGAACTTGTGGCGATCCTCCTGCCTCAGCCTCCCGAGTGCTAGGACTACAGGCATGCACCACCTCACCCGGCTTAAACCAACTCTAAACTAAAGCTGTTCCTCATGCATTAGTATGTGTCCCTCACACACTAATATACAGTACTATCAATGGCTGTACATTCAGATTGTGTGGCAAAAATGGAGTCATACAGCATCGACTGTCTCATCACAACTGCTACTTGCCCTTTAAACCTGACATGACACCATGACCATCTGTCCATGCCTGGTCATGTAGACAGACAAATAGTATTGTATCCCTCTTGCAGGGGACGAACTAGCTAAGGGGAGTTTGGTGGCACCTCCAGTGTGACCCAGGATAGCCTCGAATAGCAGATTGCGCCACAGTATTAGCTGCAACAGAGCCCTCAGGGGAGAAGCCTGGCACTCAGGAGAAAGGCCACTTTTGATTTGTGGGTTTAAAGATGCTCAGTGTCATCGATCACCTTCCTGGACAATGGTTATTTTGGGCTCAGAGATTTAGACAGCAAAGTTCCTGCCCTTGGAGTAGTGACCTTCCCTAGGAGGAAGGGGCAGGGTTAACAGCCAAGCCCTAGCAAACTCATACCCTGGGCTGACTGTGCTTAGTGCAAATGCCTGGCAAATGCTTTGAGTTTCAAAATAAAGTGTAGGGGAAGGACTTCTCTTCTTTCAAAAAATCTGCTTTTGGTTCCCCAAGGGTAGCCAGAAGGGCCCCAGGGGTTGGGCTTGAGAGAACAAAGGTGAAAAAGAAGACCTTAGGTTCTAAAAATTCCTGTCTTGAGCCAGGCATGGTGGCGCACGCCTGTAGTCCCAGCCCTCAGGAGGCTGAGTCAGGAGGATCACCAAGAGTTCCAGGCCAGCCCGGGCTACATAGTGAGTTCAGGACCAGCCTGAACTACAAAAGGAGACCTTGCCTCAAAAAACCAAAAAAATAGGGCCAGGGATTTAGCTCAGTGGCACCATGCCTGCCTTGTAAGTGCAAGGTCCTAAGTTTGATCCCGGTTCCAAACAAATAAATAAAATTAACCAAAAAACCAACTCCTGTCTTATACAAGATGATCAGTTAACATTTCTGGCCCATTGTCTTGGAAATACCACCCCTTTCCTGTTTGTCCACATGAAGTGAACAGAGAAAGATCCAGCCTCCCCTCAGAGAGAAGACAGGTGAGGAGTGCTATAAGGAAGGACTGGCTTTCCTGCCTGCCAGTCCAGGGCTGTAGGGACTTCCGAGGCCTGCCAAGCTGAGCCTCTGGCTTCTGCTGGAGTCAGGAAGGGTGAACAGCAGGGTGGAGAACTGCTGCTCAGGGGATCTGAACTACAGTAACTTCACCATGTGCTCCCTGGACCAGGCATCGTGCTCTCTTCTTCGCCAATTCCCCACAATGACCGTGTGACTCTGTAGGTTGCTGTATTTGTTCCAGAAATAAGGAAACTGAGGCTCAGAACATGAACTAGTCAAGCTGAGGTTCAAACCCAGGCAGGCTTCACTGACTTGAGAATCTGAGCTCTAACCAGTGAAAATGATGCCGGGCTCTTGCAAAGGCAGAGAGGAAACTTTCAAAGGGAAAACTACACCCAAGGGCCCCATGAACACAAGAGCTCACAGTCTCATGGAGCCCTTGTTTAATGCACTTGAACAGCAGGCCCTTCCAGAAACCACATGGCTGCTTGTAAGTCAGGCGAGTGGGTCTAAGCCTTCCATGGTAGGTGTTCTAATGCCTTTCTGGGTAAGGGTAGCAGAGCCTCCAAATCCCACAGGGCCACTTCAGCCCTAGACCACACCCTCCTCAAACACAGGAAAACCCAGCACCCCTCTGTCTGTCTCCCCCATCATGACACCTCCAGCCTTTGCCCCATTGGCAGTAGCACAGCCTGATTCATCCCCTCCCCTGGCTGGAGCCCCTAGTGACAGCGGATCTCACCAGCCATCTGACACCGCACCCCGAAACCTCAGCTGCTGCAAAGGTCACTCCCTTATTCCTGGCTTGGCTTCTAGCTGTGTAACTGTGACAGTCCTGTCACTAGCTCTGCTTCTGGCCACAAGGAGCTAGTCTCCTGTCACAAGGCTCTCCTGGGCGTCTCCTGCCGCTTGGCCGGCTTCCAGTCCACGCCTGGGGCAGTTGCAGATCATCAGAGTTGCAGGGCAGAGCAGTGGGATGGAGGGCCCAGACCTTCCTTCCACTCTGAGGACACGATGTTCCCTTTCCCAGAGACAGACTTTCTGTGTCTTCAGAGCCAAGAGGCCCAAAGCCTGGGAAAGGATATGCTCAGATTCATCTATTCATTCCGCATGCATCTGTACCCCAGACACCTGCTGACATGAGTCCCCGAATCAGCTCAGTGGAGAGCTGGAGATCAGTGGTCCCTGCCCTTGCTACCCCAGAGTGAAGCCGATGTCCCTGGCCTTGGAGAAGTGGGGATGGGGATCGCAGGCCTGGGGGAATCCAGCCAAGCTTGGTCCACCTCACATTGCCTGCTAGCTGTATTCTTTTTTTTTGGTACAGGGGATTGAACGTGGGACCTTGTGCTTGCGAGGCAGGCAGCAGAACCACTGAGCTAAATGCCCGGCCCTGCTAGCTATATTCTTTTGGACAAGTCACTCCATTCTCTGAACCTCCATTTCTTTTTTCTTTTTCTTTTTTATTAAGAGGCCCACTATCAGGGTTCTGCTAATGAAGAGAGATTTAGCTCTTTTAAAAACATTAAACTTTTGAATATGGGAATTGGCATTTTCAAAGAAAACAAGCAAGTTCTTTAACCATCCATGAATGTGATTCATGCTTGGCCCAGTGGTGGTGCTCCAAAGTGGACGACACCCTGCAGTGTGGTCTCATGCCAAGGAAGAAGTCCATAAAACCCACAGATTACCTGCATGATGGACAGAAAAACGTGTTCTCTTTCCACTCCTCTCAATCACATAGGCCATGAGGGTGTAGAACCTCCTTGGAGCTGGACACTGGGAAGCGCACATCCCAGCAGGGACCAGTTGCTCCCAAGGCTGGAGAGGAGAGAACCCTGGATCACGCGGCTTCCTGCTGTAGGACTCGGTTGTCCAGAGCACTGTTCACTGTGCGCTGCTCAACGCCGGGACTGCCTAATTCCCAGCAGTGTGGATGGCGCCCTCTGTTCCACTGGGCAGCTGGGACTCCTGAGCCCCTCTGTCCCCTTCCCCCTTGGAGGAAGCACTGAAGCTCCTACCTTGCCTCTCTCCTCTCCCTCAGGATTGGGCCCCCCGCTGTCCTCGCTGCTGCCCGCTCTGTGACTGTGCCTGTGCATGCCAACTTCCAGACTGCCAGAGCCTCAACTGTCTCTGCTTTGAGATCAAGCTCCGATGAGGACCCAGGGGCCCTGCCCTCTGGGGAGTGGCCAGCCTCCAGGGCCCACGGGCCCCCCTGCCTAGGGGCTCTCAGAACGCCTCTCTCCAGCCCACCCGACCCACAAATGGCAGGCCCAGCTCAGCAGCACTGGGGCGCTGGCCCCCCAGAGGGCAGGACTCAGACCCCCTGGCCAGCTGGACTGGCCCTGATTTTGGAGGCTGGAAAGGATAGGGGCCAGCGCTCCAGAGGGGCCCTGCCCAGCTTCCCTTCCCCAACGAGACTGTTATACTGCGGGTGTGGGGGGCTGCTAACCACACTGCCATGAAACTCAGCCAGCTGTGAGCCTCCGGGTTGAGGGTGCCCAGCCTCGCCCTGTCATGGACTCTTGGTCATCTCAGCAAGTGAGTGTCTGCCTGCATCTGCTCTCCCTCTAAAAACCCCAGTCCCATCAGGCTCAGTCGGGAGGAGGGAAGCGGGGAAGGAGGCAGGGAAGGCCACGCCTTGCAACTCCTCTTCTTCCCTTCCCTCCCCACAGGTCCCTGCTCAAAGATTTATTTCCCTTGACGACCAAGAGCCTCAGTCCGGATTCGCGAGCAAGACGCTGAAGCGCCGGTGAGTGGGCAGGGGCCTCCTCCTTCCCCCACGCAGGGCCCTGCTGGCATGAATGTCAGGGGCTTCAGGTTTCCCTAAATATAGGTCTCTGCTGGGGGATCCGCGGCGGGAAAAGGGCAGGGGTTAGCGAGAAGGTTGGGGACACCGGCGCGGGGGAGGATGGGAGCGCCTTATAACCCGGTCCGGGCGCGCCAGGCGCACTCGCTGCGGATCGCGCTCCTCCGCTCTAGTCTCGCCGCAGGTGGGCCGCTTGCGCGCGGGGCGGTTTGGGGACGGGTCGGAACGCGGAGGAAGAGCTGGCTTGCAGGAACGGGAGGCGGATCGGCTCGGGGGCCGAGGTTACTCTGGAGAAGTCAGATCCAGGGAGACGTTTAGCAGGGACGGCGGCCCCTCAATGCCCAGCTGGCCAATTCCCGCAGTTTGGCTTCCGCCGACGGCGGCCCCGGGCGGAGAGCGCGTGGCCTGCGAGGCCTGGCCGACTTTCCCGCCCGGCCCAGTGCGGATGTGGGTGGGGAGGGGCTGTCGGGGCGGGCCCCGCGCCGTCGCCCGCCACGAGAGCCCCGGCTAGGACCCGGAGGTGTCGGGCTCTACGCCCCGCGCAGCCCAGCCCAGCCCAGCCCGCGGCGAGGCAGGCCGACGCCCGGCACGCGGTTCGGGCAGCACGACTCACGCTGCAACCGCGCAGGCTGGAAGCCGGGGCGGCCCCAGGCGCGACCAGGCCCGGGAGGGGAAGCCGGCCTGCACCCTGACTCTGCCACCCGCCTTCCCCACGCCGCCTTCCCAGCCCCTCCGAGGCCAGAGTTCCGGCTGAGTCATGGCGCCAGGAGGGGGCTGGGGTGGGAACGCGCGCGGGGGGAGCCCCGGCGACCCGGGATGTGTCCCGAGTCACGTCCGAGGGGCACCGCGGAGGGATCCGGTTCTCGCCGCTCAGGCTCCCCCTCCGCCAGCGCCGCCTCCTAGCTTTGCGTCTCGGGCGGCTTCGCTTGCCATTGGACGCCTCTTGCCCAGGAAAGGAGAAACCCCCCCCGGGGGGGGCGGAGCGGTACCTTTAAAAGGCCGGGGCCTCCGCCTCCTCCCGCCCCTCGCTCCGCCCCCCGGGAGCAGAATAGGCTCAGTTCTCTGGAACGCGCGGCGTAGGCTGCTGGTGAGGACCGCCGCATTCGCTCTCAGGCCGCCCGCCTTTGTACCGCGCTTCCCCCCCTGCCCGACAGGTGAGCGCCCAGCCACGTGCAAGGGCAGGGACCGTAGAGACGGCCTGGGGGCAGCGGGTGGGCCGTCCGCGGAGCCCCCCCGCCTCGCCGGCCCGCCTTCCCCGGGTCTGCTGCGCAACACGGCCGCTCCGCGCTGAGTCATGGCGGGGGAGGAAGCAGGGCGAGATGGAGGGCTCCCCCCACCCCGGTTTGGTATTTGCACCCCGAGTGCAGTAATTGGGGCCCCTTGCCTCTGCGGGGATCCCAAGAGGCAGCGAGGGGTGGAGGTCAGCTCGCATACTGCCCCAGGTTCCCCTAAGGGAGGTTCCTGCCCGGGAGACCGGAGACGGCGCCCCTGGCAAGGAGGGGAAGCCCCTGAGCAGCGCTGAGGACCCCTTAACATTTGCCCTGTCTTTCCCTAACTTGTGACCTTGGTTCTGAGCCTGGAACAGCTGCAGCCGCGCGGACAGGCGCTCAGGAAAGGGGTGGGGTGTTTGCCTATCCACCAAATCCCCTTTCCGGGTGTGAACAGTGGGAAGGCGAACCTCACCCTTCCCTACACCTGGCTAGGCTTGCCCCACTGCCCTTCACCGACACCTGGTTGCCCCCACCATGGTGGAAGAAGCCTGACCTTGGGATGTCCTTGGAGCCTGAGACAGCCCTGGGATCCTGGGTAAATTGGAAGGACACCCTAATAGTGTAGTCAGATGTGGGCTCTACTCACAGGTCTGGTCAGTGGGTCGCTGTTGGGTTCACACACAGATGGTTTCCTTCTCTGGGCCCTGTCACGTGGGGCTGTTAGACCCTCTACTCTTGACCTTGAAATTCTAAAATACTCGGATTCGGTTTTGTTTTTAGACACAGTGACCCCATGGCAACGCGCAGGTCAGAAGGGTTCAGCTTCCACATGACCCGCCTGTCTCTGGCTTTGGCTTTTTCCTTTCCCACAGTTGCCAGTGGGCAACCCTGCCCTCAGCTGGGCAACACCCAGCCACAGGCAGTTAGGAAGGGCACAGGAGGAGGCAGACCTAGTACAGGGAAGTTGGGTGCAGGGAGAGCCTGGGACCTGCCTGCCGAGGGGCAGGGGAGGTAGGGAACATTCACCCTGACCTGACCTCCACACAAGGGGCTCTGCTCCCTGGGAGACCATGGCCAGGCCCAGCTAACCACTCCTCCGTCATACGTTTCCTCCACCCAGGAACCTGCCACCACCGGCACCATGCCCTACCCATATCCAGCACTGACGCCTGAGCAGAAGAAGGAGCTGTCCGACATTGCTCACCGCATTGTGGCTCCGGGCAAGGGCATCCTGGCCGCAGATGAGTCCACTGGTGCGGTGCAGGCAGGAGACCAAGTGGGAGGGGGCTCAGGGCTGGGAGTGGCGGACTGGTCCCCTTATTCTCCCGCAATGCCCCTGCAGGAAGCATTGCCAAGCGGCTGCAGTCTATTGGCACTGAGAACACCGAGGAGAACCGGCGCTTCTACCGCCAGCTGCTGCTGACTGCGGATGAGCGTGTGAACCCCTGCATTGGGGGAGTCATCCTCTTCCACGAGACCCTCTACCAGAAGGCGGACGACGGGCGCCCTTTCCCCCAAGTTATCAAAGCCAAGGGTGGTGTCGTGGGCATCAAGGTGAGAGGACGGGGCTAGGGTGTAAGAGGAGATGGATCTGGGGACAGGAGATGCAGCTTCACAGGGCAGGGCATGAGTACTGGGTGGGAGGTGTGGGGACTTGGGTGGGGTCAGCCCCAGACTTAGAGCATCTGGTTGGCACTTTTTTGTGTGGTGCTGGGGTGGAAGCCAGGGTCCTGTGCAGATCGGGCAGCTGCTTCACTGTAAGGTACATCCTTGTTAGCGTTTTTATAGCCATAGAAATTCTTAAGTGCAAAGTATTTTTCCGTTTAACAAATGGAAAACCAGATGGTGGCACACACCTGCAATACCAGCCCTCTGGGAAGCTGAAGCAAAAGAATATGGGTGTTTTTTTTTTTTTCTGGTACTGGGGATCAAACTCAGGACCTTGAGCTTGCGAGGCAGGCACAGTGCCAGTGAGCTAAATCCCCAGCCCAAGAATTGAGTTTCAAGTCCAACAGAGGCAACTTAGTGGTTTAGCATGACTGCTTCAAAAGAAAAAAGCAAGTGGGCCCTGGGTTCAATCCCCAGTTCTACCCCCCCCCATTAAAAATTAATAAAAAGGAAAAGAAAAGCTCAGGATTTGCAGCCAGGTATGGTAGCACAAGCCTGGAATCACAGAACTCCAGAAGCTGAGGCAGGAGAATCCTGTGAGTTCAAGGTCAGTTTGGGTTACATAGTGAGATCCGGTCTCAAAAAAAAAAAATACTGCAAACCATGAGAGATCACGTGAGACTGAGGAAAAGGGGGAGCTCTAGAGGATAGGGTGCCCGAGATCATGGCCTTCATTTACCTCAACAGGTAGACAAGGGCGTGGTGCCCCTGGCGGGAACGAATGGTGAGACCACCACCCAAGGTGAGGATTGTGGCTTCTTCCCTTGCCAGCCCATCCCACCCCACCCAGCGAGGTACCCACTTGGGCATGGGAGAGACCAGACGCCCCCCTCCCACACTGTCTCGCCTTCTCTTTAGGGCTGGATGGGCTGTCTGAGCGCTGTGCCCAGTACAAGAAGGATGGAGCTGACTTTGCCAAGTGGCGCTGCGTTCTGAAGATTGGAGAACACACCCCCTCAGCCCTTGCCATCCTGGAAAATGCCAACGTTCTGGCCCGTTATGCCAGCATCTGCCAGCAGGTGGGGCTGCAGTCCCCGTTGGGCCACTTCCCACCTCAGTTGGTTCCAGTGTGGACTCACGTGGCATCTGTCTGCCCAGACACCTGCCTTCCCCTCACCCACCCAGTGCCAGGCTTGTCCAAGGGACACTGCAAGGCAGAGCAGCGCAGTGGGAATTGTGTGGGTGGGCCTGCCTCCAGTAAAGCGCCCAGAGCTCTTAAGCCCGGAGTCCCTCTCACTGCTGAGATAAGATCTTGGCTAATGGCCGTGGGGTTCCAGATTAGGGGAGTTCATGACTACCCTGTCCTGCCCCACGCAGAATGGCATCGTGCCCATCGTGGAGCCCGAGATTCTCCCTGATGGGGACCATGACTTGAAGCGCTGTCAGTATGTCACCGAGAAGGTAGGGTGTCTGTCTCCCTGGGCAGTGTGGTAGGGTGGACAGCTGGGCCCTGGCCCTGTCCTTGTTTTCCAACGCCACCCCACTTTGGCCCTGTCCGACTCCAGGTGCTGGCTGCGGTCTACAAGGCTCTGAGTGACCACCACATCTACCTGGAAGGCACCTTGCTGAAGCCCAACATGGTCACTCCAGGCCATGCCTGCACCCAGAAGTATTCCCACGAGGAGATTGCCATGGCAACTGTGACAGCGCTGCGCCGCACAGTGCCCCCCGCTGTCACTGGTGAGCCCCTCCCCCTCTTCTCGGCCTCGGGTAGGTAGAGAACTGAACCCACATCCCTGAAGCCCCATGGCTTTGACGCCTCCTGTTCTGCAGGGATCACCTTCCTGTCTGGAGGACAGAGCGAGGAGGAGGCTTCCATCAACCTCAATGCC